TAGTGGACATTTGGTAGAAGGCCAGGTATACTGAATAGTGCTTTCCAGATACCATCTCATTTACTCCTCCTAGCCACCTGGTGAGGTAGTCACTGTTTATCTTCGAGCACTTGATAAGAAGAGAAAATCCGAGGGAATTAAAATAACTTACCCAAGTCACCCAAGAGTAAATATAAATCATGGAATTTGAACTCATCTGACAACACACTCTTTACTTTAGCTCTGACTTTGAAGTAGAAAATTAAGCAGCTTTACAAAGAATAGATTGGAGCCCTACAGAACGCCTGTTCTCATATCCAGGTTACTCAACACTTCTCTCGCCTGACAGTTACTGTCCAGTATTTCCCCAAAAGTCATTAGAATCTAAGCTCCTTGAGAATCTCAGTTTCATTATTTTTATTATGCTTTATATATAGAGTATAGTGCCTGCAATGCAGTAGACCATTAATAAAAGTTTTTTGAATGATGAATAATTTTCATGTGTTGGCTGGGGGTAAAGATTTGGGATTGTATTGGGGAAGCAGGGCCAATAATTACTCAAGAGACGTAAAGAATGACTGTGGGTTCAAACACGATACTCCCAGAACTAGTAAGAGCTTAGAAAGTGTTCTGGACTGCCAAGTCATTCCAAAGATTCATCAGACCAGCAATTAGCCAAAGAACTAGACCAAATCTCACGTAGACCTTGGGATGAGCTGGGTTTCTTTGAATTTCTTGTTAAACTGGCACTGATTTCATGTCCCAGAAATTCTAACGTCTCTTCAGGTTTCTTTGATGCAGGTCACTCACATGCCAATAATATCACACAAGCTGTAGAGGTGTACTCAGAACTAGTAGCTATTAAAGGGAAGATGGTTAAAGGGAGGTGATAGATACTGTGATTTATGGGGAAATACTGCTTCTCTTGCAATTCCATTGCAAGAAGGGACCTATAGAATTAGAAAAACAAATATAATGCCATTGCAAAATAATGGATTAAATCTTTGTAGGAACTAGTAATAACTTCAAGGTCTTTGCCTAAGGGAAGAGGCCTGTGTCTCTTGGACGTTGATTCTGGAGGTTTTTACTCCCTTTGAGGCATCCTACTGATCTCTATTCAATAAAGGAGAAAAAAACACATAGCAATTGATGACTGTCCTCATCAGCTGGAGACACTGGCAGGTTAGGGAGAAGGAGAAAATGGGGTTGGAGTGAAAAGTTGGAAGAAGATTATAGATCAAATGATCTAGCTACCATTTTTTTTTTAAAAAAGGAGTTTTGTACTTACTCCACTCTTTTCTGATAGAAACCTAAAACTTACAGTTTCTGCTTTTTGAAGCAGGGTTTTAGCACATAATGGGACATAAATTTTAATTTCTTCTAAAGTACTGACATTTAAAATTTACCTTTTAAAGAACTATTTCTTCCCAAGCTGGCATACACTTATCAGATAACAATTTATCAGTAAATAGATGTTTAAAAAATTAAAACTCTCCTTAGAATAACAGGTAAACAATTATGATTTCAAGTTCTAATATTTCTTAGAAAACAAGGTTGTAGGTCCCTTAATATTCACAGGATTTGGGATTCTGGAAAGAAAGTAGTATAGATTAGTGGGAAAAAAAATCAAACAAAAATATTATCTAATTTAGTAATCAGAAACCATGTATTCTAGTTCAAATCTTATATGAACAACACATCTCAATCTCAATCCACATTATATAAAGCTATCTGTCACATAGAGTAGTACTCTTGGGTCTGAATTTCTGTAACAGATATTTCCAAGTTATTCTACCTTCCTTCCCCACAAGCTCAAGCAATTTTATATATTTGTGGTATGAAAGTTTTAGTTCCATTATTCAGAATAACCTGCAAGGTATTTACATATGTTGCAACTGTAACCATCTGTCTATGTAGGTCTGTTGTGTCAGAAAGGTTTATTACTGTATGGAGGCAAAAAAAAAAAAAAATCCAAGACCAAACCAAACAAATAGATGTGTCCATTCCATTCTTGATGTCATGACTAGGTGTTGGGAGGATAAATGAGATAATGAAAGAAGCTCTTGAGTTCTGAGGACAGCTGCTCCATGCAGGCAAGACATCATTATTATTAATTACCTTTATTCACTTTCAAACCATCTGTTTCCAAACATGGGCTGTGTGGTCCTATTTTCCTATCTCAGTGCACCCTAGTGTGTACCGTATACATATTTAATCTTCAACTGATTTCAAAGGAAGCAACATTATGTTCAGATGGATGGTGCTGGAACAAAGGACAGACATTAATTCATTATTCTGATGATTTTGTTTGTTTAAGACAAGATCATTCACTCATATTAAACTATTCTGAATACTTTGCTATGGTATTATGCTAGTTTTTTTTTTAATCCTTAAAAAAACTAAATAATGCCATCTGGTGGTGAAAATAAATATTCTGGAGAGTATTTCCAGAAGTTTTACGTCATTTTTTTGTATTTTAGTATCTTCATTACTCTAATATTTTTAATGAGTTTACTGAGGTCATTAGAAAGTAGAATAAAGATTTTACACAACAGATAGAAATAAATAGTTTGAAATATATCTAGCCAGATCTAATTATACAGTGGTAAAATTCCTGATTCAAGTTTTTTTCACCCATAGAGAGTGGTGACAGATTATGCAAAACCATGGTGTTGGTTCTCTTCTTAAGTAAAAGAGAATAGTAATTTCCTGGCATCTGATACTATCATTTCTTCTGTAGTCACAATAAATAAATGATATCCAGCCATGAAATTCAGAACTACTCTCGTGGTGATAGACCAACTTCCTGAAAAGATATGATGCTTTTATTGATTCCCTCTTAGTTTCCCTCACCCTTGGAATTCAGTCATGTCTGAAATCTAGAGGGGTATACTTGCTGGAAGTTTTTTGTTTTGTTTTTGTTTGTTTACATGAGAACCTGATAAGCCTGATATGATAACTCAGTGGGGCTGAAACTGGAAACCAGTATAAGTGAAAGACTATGTTTTACTCAGGATTCACTCTCCTCCACCCTTTCTGTCCTCTAAAGACTAGGGTATGTTCCGAGAGAGAACCTATCACACTGGGAAATGTTTTCAGGCAACAAATTTAATTCCTCTGTCTTTTGATTTCACAGAAAATAGGCTTTTTCTAGGGGAACAATGAGGAAATAGGTTTGGCACAAAGACAGTGTTCAATAAATATTTGTTGAATTACATCAAAATGAAGACCGTTTCTTCCCTTGCAGCCCATGTAAGAGATGTCTTCAACCAAAATGAAATTTCTGAAATGCCAATGAACCACATCACTCCCTTGCTTAAAATCCTGCAATGGTTTCATAACCAACTACAAATTCCTCACAAGGCCATTCATAATCTGGTCCTTGTATACCTTTTGACTCATATTATCTCATTTATCATTCCTGCCACTTGACACAAATATGTATCTATGTGCACACATGTACACACACACACACACAGAATAGATCTATCAATACATACACATGCATTGAATAGATCTACCCATAAAAGATTATTCCCTGCTCCTCAAAGCCAGTGTTCCTTTTAGCCTTTGCTGACCAAAGCACCCTTTTTTGCTTTACCTAGTAAACTTTTAATCATTTTAAATCATTCAGTTCAAGCACTACACTACTTCCACTAGGAATCTTTTCTTGAGTTTTCTCATGTGGACAATAGTGCTTTAATCCTGTGCTCAGAAAACTTCATATACGTACTCCAAAAAAATACAGTTACTTTGCTAAAATTGTTTCCATCGACATCTTCACTATACATGTGTTTCTCAAGACCAAAGGCTACATTCTATTTCTTTAAAATCAACTTTAAATGTTTTGAGTGGTAATTGACTCCCATTAACTACTTATTAAATGCATGATAAATAATTGGTAGCAGATATTGCTAATCAAGCTCCAACATCCAGTCTTCCGTCTTCTTTAATAGAACCCCAACCCAGTTCAACCACTCTGGAGCTACCCAGCTAGGGATGGTCACATGACAAAGCTCTCACTATGAGACATGACTGGACAAGATATGTGATGCTTCCTTCTTGTGACTTCCTTATTAAGAAACTGCTTGTTCTTAATTTCTTTTTTCTGTTCTGCTTCTCACAGACAAAACAGGTGACAGTTGGCAGTTTCCTTGGACTTAGTAATAGAAATGAATGTTGACGTTGGCTGAGTTCTCCTGACAGCCTAGGAACCTGAAGAAACTTACTCTGGGTTACGTTAGAGAAAAAGACATCCTGTCATATTTAAGCCACTATATTTCAAGGTCCCTTTATTACAGCAGTTCAGGTGATGCTAACTGTACGTGGTTAAAATGAAAACTACTTTCTATGATATTGAAGCTTTATTTTCTCAGCCTTGTACCATAGAAAATATTTCCATTTGTATTATGTACCAGGATACAACCTAGAAATATGTCCTGAAAAACAGTTAAATATTATTTTTACAGATAAATTTCAAACCACTATCAAATTTCTATTTATTGCCTGTAGAACTTAAATTATTGTTAAAAATTAAAGGCAACTATTTCCAAGAGTAGACACTTTCTTTATAATCTTAAAAAATATCCTCTAGTCTTAAGACTCTACCTTGTTCTTAGCTTATGTCTTCTTCCCTCATTGAATAATCAATCATTCACTTTAGGCACAGCTTTGTCTCATATGTTAGGAAAATCTTGACCGTGGATGGAAGAGAGTAAAGGACTCCGGAATGACAGTTATTAGTTGGTAGCATTACCTTCAGCAGCACTTGATACTATAGTGTTTATTCTGAAACCCAGTATTCAGTTTTCTTTCTGTCTCTGGTGTCTGAAACCATGTTTTAGAAAGCTTAATGGCAACACAAATGCTGTAAGGCTGGAAGTACATTCCTTCAATTGCCGGTGAACTGAGTCAGGATACATTCCCTTGATCTAGATCATATGACTTATTTCTTGACTAGCCTGTTAAAAATTTCCACTCTGGTAATTTTCCTACAGTCTGTACCATTGGGTATCTGTTGCTATACTCTTTTGCTTAACAAGAAGCTATTATTATACCTAAAATCTGGGTTTGTCTCCTGTCCTACTTGGGTGCCTGATGATTTTAGATGAAAAAGATTTCCTTTCTCTTAGTAGTCCCTTGTTTCCACTGGAGTTAAAGGTCAGTAATGAGAATGTCTTGAGATATGATGAAATTGGTGTGTAGATTCCAATTTGTCATTAATATATCACTGTTATATATATATATATTTAATAAATATATATATATTTATTAAAGACTTTCATTTCTGCTTTGATAGAGGTGGGCATGTGAGCATGGCTGAGCAGAGAGTGGCCTGGAATGTTGATTGATCCAAGGACAGGAAAATGGCTTAAGGAAGGCCTCAGTATTTTTTCAAGAACTGATACAATTGCTAGAGGACAGCAAGTTTTCCTCTTACCTTCTGAGATCATAAGTAGTAACAGCATTCAACCTGCAGAGGCAAATGGCCAAGAAGCAGAGAGAAAATAGGTTCCTGATAACATCTTCTGAACACCTGGACTAAGATTTTTTTTTCCCTGCTACTTCCAATAAATATGCGATAAGTTTGAACTCTTTTACTTGCAAGGAAGGTAGTCTAAATCAGAGGTGATAAACTATGGCCCCACCATCTGTTGTTTGTAAATGAAGTTTCGTATGAACGCAGGTACCTGCATTTGTTTACATATTGTCAACGGCTTTTTCCCACTCCTATAGCAGAGTTGAGTGGTTCTGATGGAGATCGTATGGCCATAAAACTCTAAAATATTTAATATATGTCCCTTTGCAAAAAAATTTTGCCAAACTCTGCTTACTTTTGAAACAATGTTTAAAAAAAACTTTTAATATTTGAAGAATTTAAGGTTTTCAAATGTAACTTTTCTTTCCATAACCTCTATATCTTTTTAAAGTGCACAAATTAAACTATGGCTGAAGGTATGATTCTAAGGGCGGCACTAAATGTCTGGCAATTTTTGTTTTGTTGGTTTATGCTTGAAAATACTTTGTTGATTTCTAAGCTGATTTATATTCAGTAAAGTTGTATACCTTGCTACAAGGTGACGTACTGTGTGCAGTTTATTTTGAGGTGACGTTGGCACCTTCTGTACCTTATAATTTGCAGAACTTATTTGTAGTCTGCATAATGCATAATGATGTGCCTTATCTAGAGTTATCCAGTATAGTAGCCACTAGTCACATGTGGCTATCGGCACCTGAAATGGGACTAGTCTGAATTCACATATGTTAAACGTGTAAAATATATACTAGATTTCAGTGAGCAAGCATGACAAATACAATATAAAAAGACACAGTGATAATGTTTGAATAGTTATTAGATGTTAAAATGGTATTTTAAATATATTGGATTAATAAAAATGTATTATTGGAATTATTGTTTGTTTCTTTTAAACTTTTAAAAATGAATATTAAAAAATTAAATTTACCTTTGTGTTTCACATTATATTTCTATTAAACAATGGTGATCCAGAAATTATAGAAAAATGTAGTATGATTGAAGATTGAAATAAACTTTCATAATTTTGAAAGCATTTTAAATATTTAATTTTGTAGGATGAGCGAATCATCTTTATATTATTATCTTACATTATCTTGAGGACTAGACATTTGTGAATATGTATGTACTGTTGAACAAACATGTAACTGGCATTTTTATTGATAAATTTTAACCCATTAAAAAATCATCACATATATAAGATTGATTATTAGATGCAAATAGGTTCTGATTCTCCATATTTAATTTTTAAAAATCTATGCAGGAAACACAGAGGAGCATAACTTTTATGCAGAGTTGGTTATATTCTTGTAAAAATCTTATTATGTTCTTTACTAAAGTAAGTCTAAATACATACAAATGTTGGGACATTGTAGGTGTAATTGAAAGAAGTTTTTCTCTTCATTTATTTCTAAAGGTGTTATTCTGTGAAATTTCTTATAGTGAAAAATATAAAAAGAATATTCCTTTTTGTTTAGTTAGTATGTTGTCATACCAAAATTGATGTCTGCAAAATGGAAATGATGGGCAAAATGAAAGCTGTTTAAAGGTTTCAACCAAATGGCACTCTTTTAGGTTTGATTGCTTAATTTATGTTAATTTCTATTTTTAATGTAAATATAACAATACATGCCTAAAATGAATAGTAATATACTTGTACACTTCTTTTTAAATGAAAGCATCTGGAGACATAATAAATTCAGTACAAATTGTATATATTCCATTCACATTTCAATGCATTTAGTATGTGTTGTTAGTATTGTCATTTTTGAGAAAGAAAGGCAGCAGTCAGAATATGAAGCATGCCCACCAAGTCAATATAAAAGCAGTATTTTTAGCTTCCTATTGAGTGTTTATGGTTGCAAAACGTATTTGTCTCCTGGGATGAACAAAAATCTAACAGCCACTTGAGAGTTCTCCAATCATTCCTGAGCATGACAACCTTTTGGTGAGCAGGTAATATGTGAATCATGCATTGTATTTTATTTAAGAATTAAAAATTAGATTTATAAAGCAGTCTATATACTTCAGACATTAGCAGTTTCCTGGCTAACTTTGCTTTGCATTTATTAGTTCAAAAGAATAGCATGGAAATTATGCCAGATTTTTGCCTATTTATATTTCCATTTATATCATTTAAAATTTAAAATTCATAGTCAATGATTACACAGTGTACTGAGACAATTTAATAAGTTATTTAGATTTGTTTTAGATGATAAAATATATATGTAGACAGTCACTGAAAAAGAACTGCCATAATAATAGAATTTGCAAAAGTGTAATCAAATTGTAAGAAAACTATTTTTAGAATTTTTAGTATTTTCATTAGGAAAAATTGAGTAAAGGGTACAGGGATCTCTGTGTATTATTTGTTATTATTCCATGTGACCCTAAAAGTATCTCAAAATAAAAAGTAAATTAGGCCTTGTTCAGTGGTGACTCACACCTGTAATCCCAGCACTTTGGGAGGCCAAGGTGAGTGAATCATCTGAGATCAGGAGTTCAAGACCAGCCTGGCAAACATGGTGGAACCCTATCTCTACTGAAAATACAAAAATTAGCCTGCTGTGGGTGGCAGGCGCCTATAGTCCCAGCTACTTGGAAGACTGAGGCAGGAGAATCACTGGAACCTGGGAGGCAGAAGTTGCAGTGAGCCACGGTAACATGACTGTACTCATTGCACTATTATTCACAATGGCTAAGATATGAAATTAACACCTGTTTCCACCAACAGATGAATAAAAAGAAAATGTGATACACACACACACACACACACATACACACACACACATACCCACACACAAATAAAATTCAGCAGTCTGTCTCTTGTAACAACATGGATGAACCTGGAGGACATTAAGGTAAGTGACGTAGGCCAGGCACAGAAATACAAATACTGCATGATCTCACTTATAAGTGGAATCTAAGAAAGTTGAACTTATAAAAGTAGAGAATAGAATGTTCATTACCAGAGGGTTGGGGGTGGAGGAAACAGGGAGATATTGGTTAGACAGGAGGAAAAATTTTTGAAATCTATTGCATAGCAGGGTGACTCTAGTAAATAATTATATATCCTATATTTCAAAATAGTTGAGTAAATTTCAAGTGTCTCATCACAAAAAATGGTAGGTGAGGTGATGGATATATTAATTAGCTTGATCTAATCATTCTGCATTATATACATATGTCAAAAAAACACACTGTACCCCATAAGTATACATAATTGAAATTTGTCAATTAAAAATAATATTAATAAGAAATAAAAATGTAAAATGCACAGATATTTGAAAAGTAATTTCTGTAGAGAAAATGCACAAAAGGCCAACAAACAAATGAAAAGATACTCAAAGATGACACCATTAGTCACTAGGTTAATGCAATTTGAAAACACAATGAAATATCACTTTATACCCACTAGGTTTGCTAGAATAAAAACTAGGGGCAATAACAAGTGTTGATAAGGATATGAAGAAATTGAAATCTACATAATTTCCAGATAAAATATATTGCCAGTGAAAATGTAAACAGTGCAGTCATTTAAAAAAATGGGCCAGGTGTGGTGGCTCACGCCTGTAATCCCCAGCACTTTGGGAGGCCTAGGTGGGTGGATCACGAGGTCAAAATCAAGACCATCCTGGTTAACATGGTGAAACTCCATCTCTACTAAAAATACAAAAAATTAGCTGGGCATGGCAGCACATGCCTGTAATCCCAGCTACTCAGGAGGCTGAGGCAGGAGAATTGCCTGAACCCAGGAGGCGGAGGTTGCAGTGAGCAGAGATCATGCCATTGCACTCCAGCCTGGGTAATAAGAGCGAAACTCCATCTCAAAAAAAAAAAACCCATGTCTACATATGAATATATATATATATACACACTATTAATTCTGTCCCTCTAGAGAACCTAATAGATAAAAAAAATAAAAATAAAAAGCAAGAAATTAAATCATACATTCAGAGAAAATCATCTTCATTAAAAGATGGAAGACAAGAAGGAAAGAAATAAAAAGGAAATCACAAAACAATCAGAAAGCAACAAAATGGCAGGAATAAATCCTTACTTATCAATAACACATAAATGGACTAAACTCTACAATAAAGACACATAGAGTGACTGATGGGTACCGACAACAACAATGACAAAAAGACCTAATGATGTATTGTCTTAGGAAACACTTCATTTGTAAAGACACACATAGACTGAAAATAAAGTAATGAAAAAATACATTCCATGCTAAAAGAAACCACAAAAGAGCTCTACTTACATAAAACAAAATAGAGTTCAAGACAAAAACTGTAAGAAGAGACAAAGAAGGTTATTACATAATAATAGTGGGGTCAATTCAGCAAGAGAATATAACAATTGAAAATACATATGCATGCAACACTGGAGTATCTAGATATATAAAGCAAATATTATTAGGCCTAAAGAGAGATATTGACCTCAACACAATAATAGCTGGAGATTCTGGAGACTTCAACCCTCCACTTTCAGCATTGGACAGATCTTCCAGACAGGAAATCAACAAAGAAACATTGGCTTTAATCTGCAGTATAGACCAAAGGGATCTAACAGATATTTACAGAACATTTCATCCAATGACTGCAGAATACTCTTTTTTTCTTCT